ACATGCTGAAATGGAGCTAAAACAAGCTAGGTAAACATGCTACAACATAAGCCATTTATGCAAGCTTTAAAGACAACAAGGAGAGGGGATGACCCTCTCCTTTTTAGGACCTCAAAACCACCTCTCCACCACTGAAAATCCTCTGGATTTCAGTGGTAGAGAGGTCATGCAAAGACCAAAACAATGGCCAAAAGGTATGGCCTAAAACAAGGCCTAACAAGGCCTTGGATGGGGGAGACAACCCCAAACCTCTAAGTGACCTTAAACAAAGTTCTAAAACACACAAAATCAGAACTTTTATCAGTTATAGTCGAAGCTTAAAACAATATGCAAGATGGGCTAAAAGCTTGTGCAAAAATGGGGAATAAAAAAGTATGTTCTCACCTTTGAAGAACCTCTTCAAGAACACCACGCCAGCACCTTCCTTAGATCAAAACCAGCCTAAGAACCCAACAACAACTCCTTAGAGCCTCAGCAACCAAGGATGGTGTAACACTAGGTGTATGTGTGCAATAGTGTGAACAAAAGTCACTTTAGAGCACAAAACACACACACAAAGGCAAAGAGAGGGAATTATAGAGATAGATAGATACAAACTTCCTAACCCTAATTCTCTGAACCTGGAGGAGGGAGGAGGGGCTCCCTCTTTATAGAGGTTTAAATCCTCAAGCTTCCAAGAGAAGTTAAACAAGAGGCAAATCCCTCCATACACGTGTATAGAGGGGGGGAAATGTGGATGCCAGTTGTGACAGCTGGCATAAAATATCTGCCAAAAGCAGATGGAAAGGGGTCGGCTGGAAAATATGGCCAATTGACCAACAAAAATGGCCGGTCGACCAAAAACATTACCGACTGACCAAAATATTTGGCCGGTAGCAAGAAAAGAGGGCTGGTGGCCTCAAGCCAAGGCCGGTGAGGTGTGGGGATGGCCAACAAGCCATTCCTTGCCCTCAGAAGCAAAAACACAAGTGTTTGGTATACACCCAAGCACAAAACAAACAAGTCGAGAAGTCTTGAGGCAAGGCGCGCGACCAAAGCCTCTGAGAACTCAAGACGAACACAAACATGGATGATCATCAAATGTTCAAATGATGACGTCCAAGTCTTGAGGACGGTCAAAAATGGGGTGTCTACACTCTTCTTCCATACCTTCTTCCAAGCGTTCATTTTCTCATTGTTTCTTATGTCTAGCCATTTCAATTAGTCCTACTGAGTGTACCAAAAATATATGTTGGCTTTTTTAGCTTTCGGAGGTTATTATTGTAATTTTAAGCGTACCAGTAAGGATCAATCAGCCCTTATAGAAGAGTAATTGCCAACCAATTATCAGACGATTGTGATTAAGTTCTTTCAGCCTCAACGAAGAGGACTTTTACTGGTGGCTTTGTTTAGAAGAATTAAGCAAACAACAATTAAATGAAAAACAATTGTAGCATTTCATTAAGTAAAAATGAAGAACTTACAATGATCCAATTCAGCCTCGTAGAGGTTTGCAACAACAAATTACAGCCTCGTAGAGGTTTGCTGCAACAAATTACTTAAAACTACTCCTATGAACGAAGTGCAGTGTAGGAATTTCAAGTACAGAAAATGTAATGAACAAGAAATGTAAACTGGAAGGGAAATAAAGTAGATAAAAATTGGTTCTTTGGATCTGAGTCTGGGGCCTCTTTCTGGGGCCTTCTCTACTATTTATACTTCTCAATGATAACCGTCGAAATGAGTTTCTAACCGTTGAATCATCCCTCCATGATCACTGATCATGTTTCCTCACAGTTAGCTCCACTACGCCATGTCTGCAGTTAGGCTTCCCTCTTGATTTTGAATTTAAATATACGAGTAACTGTTAAAGCCACGTCATCTTGCATCTCTTTACTGATCCAGTGCTATACAGATCCACAATAACCAATACTAACTGCCATGTGTCTGATTACGATTGAATATTTGAATTGTCTTCCTGCATTACCCTCATCCTGCCACGCGTTGAACTGTGATTGGCCTGTACAAAATATGTAGCCGACAAAACGATACCCAAAGACCAACGACTACAAATTTTCTGGTTGCTTATGCTCAAAAGCAAAAAGATAAATTGTTAGTCCTGAAATACTAGGTCCCAAATTCGAGAATCACTTTCCAAACACACAACTTGTTTTCTTGGATTTCACATCATTGAATGAAACTTGGGAGGGATGTTCTAAAAGGACAAGCAAAAAAAAAAAAAAAGCAGCAATATTTTTATTTAACATCTTAATTAAAAAAGAAAAATGTAAAAATTGAGTAACATCAATGACACCAAACAAAGAAGACATACCAAGAGTTTTGATGCACTATTGAGGCCTACATATTTTTAGAACCACCACCTATCAATTGCATTCTTGCACATATATACAAATTACAAACAAAGAATGAGTCTGTTTTTTAAAACATTAAAAGCATAAAAGCAAAGAAAATACAAGAACGATAATGAGGAAGAAATGTGCAATTAAAGTAACAAGAGTAAAGTATTAAAAATATCAGGTTCATGAATGATTTGCGACGTTATCATAATATATACTAAGAATGCCTGGACTTTGTTAATTTTAGTTAGGAAATAATATTCACCTTCTTTAAGTATTTTCTTTTCTTTTTGAGTATGGGTATCAACATAAAAAAACTCTTGGGCTGTTTTTTCATAAAAGGATATGTGCATGCCCATAATCGTTGTTGTCTAAATATACATGAACCTATAAATTTTAAATTTCATGACTATTTTATTCATGTCAAGACATGACCATTAGACAAGAATACAGAACAATAAAAATGAAAATAAAATCATATTAGAGTAAAAAAACTTCGAGGCACATTTAACATTATTTGAGAATTTATAGTCATGTCAAAAATCAAATTCATCCACTATTTCATTTTCCCTATGATCAAATGTGGATTTAGATATTATCCCTATCATTACAATTTTTATTTTTATTTTTTCACTTTCTTCAAGTCTAGCATTGCAAGAGCTTAAAGAGTATGCAAGACAAAAATATTTAATCATTTATGTTTATTTTTCCTGAAGAAACAAATCTTTCAAATCACATTAATCAAAGAAACACATGAAATAGAGATTGAAAATATGTATCACTAACTAAGACATACATGAAACTCAACAAAGAAAAAAAGAGAAAAGGCAGAGAGCAACCTGTAACTTTGACGCCATGTCGTGTTGAGAGAATTGGTTTTGCTCTACTGCTGGTTTTCATTTGAATAATTGGAAGAATCTGAATCATTCCCATCATCTTGGCCTTTGTTAAATTCATTCTACTCAACTTTTTCTTCAATCTCACTGCAAAAACTCTGGTCTAACACTGAATTCTTCTTCTTCTCCTTCTCCTTTTAGGTGCCCTAAACATTGACGTATTAATCAAAACTTTGATCTTTGTTAAGAAATTTAATATAGAAATTGTGAACATATTAAATTGAAAAAATTGTTTTCTAAAACCTTTGACTATACGATTTTGACCATTTGTATCTAGTATTCAAATCCAAATCAATCAATAGAAGAAAGTGAAATAAAAGTTGAAATTCAAACTACATACCTTTTATATAGTTATTTCAGTCTAAGTCCCACTACCTCACTTTTGGAAGTTTTTCTTGAATGGAGTAACCTGTTATAATCATGTAATTCGTCAAAACAAAGAAAAGAATCATATTTGGATACATAGTTAGATACAAACACACACATTGGCAAATAAAATGCACCTTTAAACATAAAATTATCTGCTAAAATAATGCAATGATTAAAAGGGATATCCGAATCGCCATTTAGAAAATTACATGTTGGACGTTGACTAATTCAGAATAAGCAAAAATCAAATAAAAAAAAAATGAATTCATTTGGCAAAGACCAATAGAGATGTGTGCAAATATACATATACATGTGAAGTTTGCATAAAAATAAAAAATGCAATTGAGAATGTAGAATCGTGATAGCCTAACAAATAACTCTTTTGAATCATCCCATTTCCTAGATCTATTTTTCAAACCTTCAACAAAACTTTTGTTTCCTTCCTCGTTTCTTCTTGGTTGCTTGGCTTTCATCTGCTATTTTCAAGTAACTTCTGATATATCTACTGCACAAAGAGAGGATATATCAAACTTTTGAAATGTGAATTTTTTATTTTTATTTTTATTTTAAATACCACAAACCCAAAATGTTGAACAATGAGTAGAGAGTTACCTTCAAAGAAAGAAGAGTTCATTATTGTTATTCAATAACTCTGATCACCATAGTACCAACAAAACTCTTAAATTTTCTTAAAATAAATAAACAAACTAAATGATGAGTTAATGCAATCATCAATATTCATTCTCTTTGAACTACCTATGAAAAGATTACCTATTGCTGTAGATATCGTAGCATAGAGGACTTCGACCCATTTTTTTCTTCTCTATAAATTTTGTCATAAAAATAATGAGTTTCAACACAACCCAACCAAACACCACCAATTTAACATACTGCTCACAAAACCCAAACTAAACTAAAACAATTATTAATATAAATAAAAAGGAATTTGGGATAGAGCAAAAATTCCAACAGTAATATTAAAAACCATTGGAAACAAATGTGAATGAAGGATTTACAGTTATTTAACATTTAAAATGTGTAAACCAATAAAAATAAGAATAAGCATGAGAAATGAATAGAAGATGTTTCTTTCCTAAAATAAAAAATAGTCCTTCCAACACCAAAAGCATCACCTATTGGGGGTGTTTGTTTCAGCTTTTCAAAGCTAACTTATGACTATTAGCTTTGGAAAAATTATTTTGGACTGTTTGGTTAAACTTATTTCAAACAGCTTCTGATTTTAACAGCTTATTTTAACTCAAAAAAACTGATTCTGAGAAGCTGCTCACCCCTTACTTCTGATTATCAACTTCTGCTGTGGACATGTTAATTTATGGTTATACTCTTAGATTTTTTTATTTTTTATTTTTTTAAAAATAAAAAAATACCCAAATGGATTATAGATTATTATTATTTTTTTTTATGAGAAATGTAGACAAACAAAAAATAAAAATTAATTGAAAAAGTTATTTCACAGCTTATTTAACAAACACTACTCAGCAACTTAAATCTATAATCCAACAGCTACACCAAACAGATTAACAACTTCTGATTAAAGTCATAATTTATAATCTATTAAGCTATAATCTATAAGCTGTTTTAACAGTTATACCAAACGGGGCCATTTACACCAACATAAGAGAAAACATAGCACAGTTTTAAAGAGATTAAAAAAATACACCCAAATACCATATAATACACCCAAAAATAAATAAAATCTATAGAGAAGAAATATATAAGAAGAAGCTTAAGAAATTAAGGGAGAACATTTCCTTCCAACACCATGAATCAAATAATCACCCTTTCACTCACAAAATCATAAGAAATTTATAAACATAAGAAACATGAATCATAAAAAAAATTATAAGAAAATTAGAAACATAAATCACATTTATTAATAAGATGATGAGCCATGAACCACAATGGAATGGAAACCACCCACAGAATCACAATGGAAAAATGAACCACTACTTGATAATAAAATTTATGAACTAAAGTTAATTAGAGAAACTCCTATTATCTTTAGTTGATAGTTAAAGTTAGAATCAAAAGCAGCCTCATTTTTGCTTGATTTCCCTTATTTCTTTCCTTTTAATGTATTAGAAGCCCTGAAACCCATTAAAGAGAAACCCATAGAACTCATTTCATAGATAGAGATCCATTTCACAACTATTTCACAGAAATCATTAGGAATGCTTTTTGTGAAGAAGCATGATCATGCCTAACATTCTTCATGAATGTTAGGCATGAGAGCACTCAGATTACAAGTATTCACAAAACATGAGGACCAAAGTCCAAAAAACAGAGTTCTCGTGTCTAATACAATTTGACAGAGTGCTAATGACTAATATCCGAAATCAAAGATGGAAACCATTTGATAAACCCATTTCAGATTCAGAAAATAGAAATAGAAACTATCTAGGAAACCCATTTCAAAGAATTCACACAATTTCATTATTGAAATCAAATCATTTCGAAACTATTTCACTCATAGAAACCCGTTTCAAAAAATAGAGAGTGAAATGGGAGTTTCGTTACCTGTATGGAAAAAGGTGTGATGGTAGTGATCCAATGGTCCAACGAGACAGAAACGGGGTAAGCTTGTAGAGATGTTTCATGTGAAAGATGGTCTCTTTGATGTAATGATAGTGGTCCGTTAGCCTTTGGGTGTCATGAATTGGTAATCCAGGCGGTTCTCGTCGATGATATGTAATCCACTGTCGGAGCCATGGAGGACGGAGAAAGAGGTAGACACCAAAAAAAATAAAAATAAAAAAATGGGATAAAACCCTAGATAGTTCTCTGTATCCTCTTTTCTTGCGTTTTCTTCTCTCTAAATTGTTGCTGTTTGTCATCATTGCTTCCGAGGTGCTCGTGTGCGTGCGAAAAGGCAAACGAGAGAGTATTTTTGAGCGACAGAGAGAGAGAGAGGCGATTCCAGAGACCAGAGAGATGGATGTTTCAGAGATGTCAGACTAAGAAAACTGAATTAAGGTTAATGAATCAGAAAGAGAGGTAAAGAGAATTGGAAAAGAAGAGTCATGCTGTGATTTTAAAAAAAATATGTAATGACACTTAATTAAAAAGTGATATAAAAAATAAATATAATCACATTTTAATTAAAAGATGTGATTAAAAAATATATATATATATATAATCACATTTAATGAAAAAGTAACATAAAAAATAAATATTATTACACTCAATCAAATCAAGTGTGATTAAAATGTCAAATTTTTTTTTTTTCACTTTTAAGTTTTATTAAACGTACTTAAAAAGTAAAAAAACATAAATAAAATTTGAAAAAGGTTCAATAAAATCTTTTTTTTTTTTTTTTTTGTTTTAGTGACATGTCCCTAATACGGCCTCTTTCTGATGATATTAACATGGGGTCAGGATCCTCTAAAGTGAAAATCCTGAAGTGATCTCTTAGACTGATCCATCCAACGGTTGAAATTAAACATCACCAAAACGATGTCGTTTTGGTGAGTAATTTGAAAAAAAATAAATTAAATCTATTTCTTCATTCCTGTGACTGTGAAGCTGCATTAGAGAGACAGAGAGAGAGAAAGAGAAGGGCTGAGAGAAGGAGAGAAGAGGAGGATCCACATCGCCGCCCCGCCCTGGCCCCGATGCACTGCCGCCGCCGCTGCCAACACCTACCTCTCATACTCCAAAACTGAACTCATTCCACCATTATAGAACTCTGCAACATTCAAAATCAAACCAATGAGATAAACAAACCCAGCACAAACCCATTTGGGTACTATTTTGTTTTTTGTTTTTATGTTTTCCCTAATCCAGAGTTCAAATTCAACTACAAACCCACTTGGGTACCATTTTGTTTTTTGTCTTCCCCAATCTAGAGTTCAAATTCAACCTCCATGTTCCTGAAACTCTATAAATAATAATTATATTAGGAATAATCACGAAGAAGAAGAAGAAGAAGAAGAAGAAGAAGAAGAAGAAGAAGAAATAATCCATTACTTACAGGAAAAAGGGGAAAAATAATCATCCAATTTAATAGGGAATGAAATTGAAGAAGCAGCTGGCAAAAGAAACAAATTTAACAATCATGAGAGACAAATATACGATTGAAAAACCTAACAAAAATTCAAACAAGTATTGGTTTGTACGCATTGATTGAATACCTTACTGGAAGGACCCTTCGTAGGGGCCCACTGGACATCAGACTCTTTGTTTTCGATTCCATTAAGGGAATACTTTTGTGTATACAAATATATATATATATATATATCTTCTTCACTACTCATACAATCCTCCATAGCCCAACAACAAAGTGAATACTTTTGTGTATACAAATATATATATATATATATATTAGAATATGTATTTATAGAATTAGTCGATCCCGGTGTGAAATCCGATGGTTCGATCGGGAAAGAGAGAGAGAGAACAATGATGATTTCCGGCGAGCTCGCCAGCGAGAGGAGAGAGAAAATTGGCTAGAGAGAGAAGTGTACGCAATGAAAAGAGTAACTTTTTAGAGAGAGAGAGAGAGAGAACCCTTTTTTCTTGGCTTCTGTGGGAAAAGAAAGAGGGCTTGAGGGAGCGAAAAATCAGGCTGGGATGCATATTTTTTTTTTTTGACTTTACCAAAATGACGTCATTTTAGTGAGACTTAATCTCAGCCGTTAGATGAATCACTTCAGGAGATTACTTCAGAGTTTTCACTCTAGAGGATCCTGACTCATTAACATGAGGATAGTATTCACAAACAACATAGGTATCTCCACTGTTGCATTTAATCCTAGCACACCCAACGCTTCTCGTACTTTTTCAAACAACTTGCGTGTAATGCAAGAAATCTTTATTCGGCATGCACGTATTACTGTTATAATCATAGTATGCCTCTTGCGCTGCCCACGCTGCCACCGGGTCAGCGGCCTTCCATCGGTTTCCTTCTCTCCAAAAGATGTTTTCGCCTTAGTCGCTACTTGAGTGGACTAGCGCAGTCATTTATCCGCTGGTTCGCGTATTGTTTGGAGAAGCTTGCGAGTTTTGAGCTCCATTTGAGAGATGAGAGGTTGTGCCGAGCCCTGACGGAGTTGTGGACGGTGAGGAATTGGGTGATGGTGGCCCCTATTTTGGCTACCGTGGCTCGTCAAGGGGTGGTGGGTTCTACTGGAGGGATGAGAAAGAAGAAAATGAAAAGAGTGGAAAGGAGAAGAGATGGAAGGAGCTTGGTAGTGTTGGCCATTGTTGTGGTCAATGGCGGAGCCAAAAAGTTAAATTAGAGGGGGTACTTATTAATTACAATATCAGAAATTTTTACAAAAATATTTCAAACAAGTTTTTACGATTGATTTTGAGAAATATCAAAAAAATAATGCGATTTGTAACTAGTGTATCATGGATAATACAAAAAAAATATGGATATAAGTTTTAAAATAAATTATATAATGATAAATTATTTTTTTATACAAAATTTGATTAAAAATTCAATATAATGGTAATACTACATCATCATTGGTATGTGATATCATCTACTAATAATAAATAAACACATAGAGAGTGAACTTCACATGTCAAATGTAATTAACAATCCTATAAATTTCATATATTTATAGTGAGATTACTTATACTTGCATAATAATGACATCACCGTTATATTCATAGTTTTTCATAAATAATATGATTTATAGTAGTCTCTTCATTTTCAATCAAAATAATTATTATTGTTCTCATAATTTTTAAAATGTCACTGATATTTCACTCTAATAATATTTTTAAAATTTTTTATTTAAAATATTTTTCTTATGTTTGTAAAATAAAATAAAAAAAATCTCAAAATTCATAGGGCACGTCACTCTAGGTCCTTTACCTCCTCCCCACTGGTTGTGGTAGTGGTAGTGGTTTTGAATTTTGTGAAGTTGAAACTATTGAGGTGGTATTTATAGAGTTTCAGTTTTAATTGAGACTACAGTCTCCAACTATCCCCATCATCTCTCGCACACATGTGAGGGTTGGTCATTGGATAAAAAAAAAAGAAACAGATCAATCACAGTCCACTGGAGGCCCTAGGGGTTACCCTCTCAGTGGGGGGTTTGGGGCAATTTTCCTATAGTTTTATGGTTGAGTAATGATATGTTGGAGGACATATGATGTAGGAATGCGGGTTGAGACAAGTGTACTTTCAAAAATTTTATAAATTATATGGATATTAGTAATTAGTAAGATAATTTTAAATTAAAATATTTCATATTTTCAAATTTTTAGTAGTTTGTATATTTTAAATTATTTACATTATAAAATTTTAAAAATAATTTTTAAATTGAATTTTATTAAATATTGATCTATTCTATTAGTTATTTGTATTGTTTTTTATAATCTATATTGTTTAAAATCATTTGTATTATTTTATTTATTACCATTCTTATTTTCTATTCATATTTCATTTATATTTTTTCCCCCTCTTTATTGAGAAATATATTAATTAAGGTTTTGATATTGATATTATATATATATATATATATATTATAAAAAGTGGTGATTATAATATTTTCAAATAGTTAACTTTATTAGACACAGATATAGTAATAGTTAATATTTTATTAAGTTAATGCAAATAAATATGTCGAATTATATTTTTGTTATTAATTATGCTGACAAAGAATGTCCAATTAATGATAAAATTATTATTATTTTTTTTGGATTCTTATAAATTAAAATTTAAAATTTTATAATACTTTTTTGATAAAAAGTTACATGATGTGTTTTTACTCCCCCAAATCTCAAATTCTATCCGTCCCTGAATATATAAACTTGTAATATATTGAATTTTTATGCATGATAATGTGGTTGACTTATCACTTTAACAACAATTTTTAATTTTTGTTTTATAAATTAAAAAGCATCGTGATAGGATTTTAGTTTTAAAGTAATCAATGCACTTCAAAACATTATTTTGTATACATTCTTTCATGGTATACTGTGAGGGTAATTTATATGAAAATTGGGCCGAGCTGGGTAATGGGCTGTCATAGGCCACAATACGAAGGGCTGAGTAAAAAAGCTTTGAAGTTAGTCCGGTCCTAGAGCCCCGAAGCTAGTCCGATCCGGAGGAGACTTGAAGTTAGTCCGGTCTAAAGACGCTTTTAAGTTAGTCCGGTCTGAGTTAGCCCGGTCATGACGTATTGTGGTTAGAACGGTCAGAACCTTACTATTCGGTAGCTCGGTCTAATCACACCATGGTTTATGCATGAGAGAACCGGGATAAGGTATAGTGAAAGGAAGAACCGAACTAAGGATAGTTCGGCCTACTCTACGGCTCAGCATAGCCATGATTACCTCGGTCCTATTGGAAACCTACCATGGTAGAACCATCTCACTTGGTTTAAGTAGTGAGGGGGGTGTTGAAGGATAAGCATTATATTTCAGAAGTATGAATCTTAGGAAGACTCTACATGGAGGAGTAAAAGTCCTACTAGGATTGTACCACACGAAACCTATAAAAGCTCACAAACATCACATTTGGAGAGGTAACACAACTTTGTTTTCCGAATATACAGAGCTTTTGTCTATTTGTCAAGCTTACTGACTTAGGCATCGGAGAGGTTTCTGGCACACACCCGCCGGCTAGCTCACGTTTGTGTTTTCAGGTGATAAAGCGACGTCGTACGGAGGAGAGCAGACTTGATCAACAGGATTATACGAGAAGGTTTATTCATTTCCTGTACAATTGGCGCCGTCTGTGGGAAAAACAGACAGGCCAAAACCTCTTGATCAAGCTTTACCTCTTTAGGAACAATGGCGCACAATGAAGATTTACCACAGTCCGCCATCGACAGGCAAACACCAGATGGGGGTGCAAGGCGAGAAGGACTACCTTCTATCCTTCCTATGGCGGACTTGGAGCCCTAATGACATAACTCCAGGAGGGATACTAGGGGGAGGCGGACTAACAGCCCCCGTCACTCTCATTCACAAAGTCCTGATAGGCAAATGCGGAGGATTGATCCTCAAGTTCTGGAGGATCGCGTGAAGGAGCAAGACGAATTAATAAGGAAGA